CTGCCTTACATATTATAGAAATCAAATATAGCTCACGTAGGACCCGTAATATTTTGTGGCCGTGGTGCTTCCCTGTTTAAAAGGGTGTGTGCCCATTTTACTTAATTTTGTCTCCCGCTTTGCTAAGGAGGGAAGTGGATTTACTAGTATTGTATTTCCAACTCCCCCAATTTTCTTCTGATTAATTTCGTTGCGGGTTCCAAGACAGTTTAATTACTTCCTGGGACTTCCCGAGTGTCATAACTCGGTGTGTTCGTGGATCACTGCTGTGGATCCTGGTGTACAGGAGTTACAGTGGTGGGCGTGTGGGCGGGATTAGTCCCAAAAAAGTACTTTGTTTGTATATCATTATGGTTTTCTCCTCCACCCGCCATAACGGTCAGCCGCGAGGAGGTTACGTCCGAGTGTGCCGGACGTCGCCTAAATGGAGAATGTACCTGATGATGGCTCCCGCGTCGGTGCGGGTAGGCGCTAGGAGGGATCGGAATGTCTTAATAACAGCAGTTCCCGGATCCCTCCTATTACAGGCGCAGAGAGGCACACCGTGTGATTTTAGTCGGTCCGATTCCGACACACCACCCCGCCGTAAACCCCGGTAAGGGTGACGGCCCGAGGGGGTTTTCACACGTAAAAAAAAGTTATTAGGCTGTCAGGCCCTTTTTAACAGGTATATTTTACGTAAATAACCTTTGTCAACTTCAAAAAATTACAAATGCATTATTTTTATCAGTCGACACGAGTTTCTAATATTTATTATCTAATTGAGCCTTTGATGTTTCCATTTAAATATGAAACTTTTTTAAATGTGTAATTCTTAAAATAATAAATGTAAAGGTTTTCAGAAAGGCAATAGTATCTTTTTCTCAAATACTGTACCAAGCTAGGGCTAGGCTAGGCTAGCTAGCACAACATGCAGTCGCTGGTAATACATACAATTACAGTTCATAAGATCTGAAGGTTTATAGAAGCCATAACATGAGCATAACAAAAAATCAAAACTGGTCGAAGTAGCAATTGGCACTTATGATTAATAAAAATAAAGTTCATATCAAGTCTTTAAAACTAATGTGGTGGCAAATACATGTGCCCAAATAGAAAAACATTACTTATTATTCTAATCTTCAGAAATTGACTAGGATGGCAAAAAAACGAATGGCCGCTTAAGAGCCTTAACAAATATGTTAAACATATTGTCATTCTGATCATTTTAATTTGCGTTGCGTTGAGGCTTAGAGAAGCTTCTTTCAAAATTCAGCACTGACTAAACGTGTGTGTGTGTAACGGTGAGTCTCAAGACGACTGCCATTCAAGTCAGTATCTATTTATTAAACGGTAGTATCTATTTAAATTTAATGTTGATTTAAGGACATAAAAACAATAAAAATAGTAAATTGATAATAGAGGACAATTCACCGTTTTATTAGTAGTAATCATACAAAAAAACATCTTTTCATCGTTTAAACCTAGGAATCTACCCTAATGCTTGCATTTTTTATATATTTTTTTTTTACCTTAGGGTGAACAGAAGGATCTAGCGGTGTGTTAATGGTTAACACAATATAATGATTAACACAAATCCTTAATGTGACGTGACTATAGAATAGATAGATGCGAACTCTTTCAAAACTTAGCAAAGCGCCTGTTGTTTAGTATTAGGGGTTAAAGTATGAAATTACCGATTTGTACTGAAATATTTAAACTCGTTTTTTTTCTAACATATTTATTTAATCAAAATATTTACCCTCATTATTTATACATTGCTGCCACCCAAACGGAAGTTTATTTCCTTCACGATCATTTATGCATTTTGCATTGCCTGCCTTTATAACGTAGAAGTTTGACCAAATCACGAAAAAAATGGTAGTCGGTTGGAACAAGGTTTGGCGAGTACGAAGGACGTATGGTTTCTAACTGCAGTTCCTGTAGAGTTACAACAGTTTCCCGTGCAGTGTGAGGCCTCATCAAATAATGGTGAAGATAGATTCACGAGTCGGGGCTGTTTCACTACCAGTTTCGCCATCATTGTTCAAAGTTCGGCACAATAAAGATCTGCTGTTATTGCCTGACCAGACATGTGAAGGCTATAGTGAATAACACCATGAAGAGACCACCAAAAAGTAACCGTTACCTTTTTATTGGTAAGCTTTACTTTAGGGCACTGTTGCGGCGTTGGACTTGGGGTCAGCCATTGCATTTTTCGCTTACAGGTATCGTAAACAATTCACTTTTCTTCACATGTCACAATTCGATCCAATATTCTTTATTTCAGTACCGATTCAACAAGGCAACAAAAGTTTCATTTTTTTCTGCAGATCAGTTTAATCATGAGGTATCTATTTTCATATTTTTTTACCTTCTTGATTTTATGCAAATAAGTCAATATTGTAGGTAGTGTAACGTTAAACCATGCCGCTAATTCCTGGGTAGTTTGACGCGGATCGGCTTCCACCTTATCCTTCAATTCAGCGATATTAACCTGTGTGAGCGGTCTTCCACGTGGTTCGTTCGTCAAGTGGAAAAGCCATTCCATTTCCATTATGAAAGCGTTTAAACCAAAAACGCACGATCCGTTCATTAGCAATCTCCAAACGCAACGTTAATATTGCGAGCCGTTTCTCATCGGAACTCGTGTTAAAAAACGACTCGGATTTTCAAAGTATCCATCTTTCACGTCTAAACTGAATAAAAAAAACAATTAGAAGTGGATAATCGAATGTTGTATATTTTTAAAAGAAGAACCTCATAGGTATTATGTGAAAAAAGGTTCACACGAAAATCTCACACCATGAAGGTTTTATGTCATTTCAAAGTACCATTACTATACAACGGCAATTTCATACTTTAACCCCTATTATTAAATCAAAAGGCTTAATCTAAGCAAATCAACAAAGAAATTACGCTAGTGCTTACGTAAGTCGAGACTTAACTCTTTTAGAGGTAAAAAACGTTTGACTCCAAAAAAACTAGCCTTTTGCCGGTACTGGAAGTCAAGATATCAGCATCTAAGGTCTCCAAAATGTTGTATAAAAAGCTTACATGGGTTTTATGTTATGGTTTGTTGTCTTTTATTTGTATGGTATCTTTTATTTTTGAATGAGTCAGGGAACAAAACTTGCGTCACTTAAATTTATTGTTTTTAAATATTCTGCACAATTACATATTCTATTCGGCGAGCTTTTTACTGCGCATGCCTCTGGTGCATGTTCTGTACATAACTGTGCAGCAGGCAGTAATTTTAGGTCCACAATTCTATCTCAACTATTTCTACTTTGTGTTTCCACTATTGATAGGTTTTGTTGGTGTTATAAATGTGGTTACAAGAATTCGGTTTAAGTGAAGGGAATCCTATGCATTTATGTTTTACAAACTATCGTAGAGACACCCCTTGTTATATGCCTGAACTTAAATAAGCGGCGGAGCATATAAAAATAAAATAGAAGGCTAAAATGATCTAATTGAAACGAAAAGGTTGATTCACAATGTTTCTAATTCTGTTTGTATTTAGAAGACGAGAAAAGGACCATTATAAAAGAATTATGGGTATCCTGACAATGAATGATCAAAATGATCTACAACTAATTTATCATATTTTTAATCTACGCATACTTTGTATTCTTTACAGTGCTGTCTGAATACTGTCTGTATAAAGCTTGGATTTTTATTTTTCAAGGGTGTTATGATGTATCTATCTAGCATATTTACGGAATTGTTTTTATAGAGAGTAAGTGACTTGGGTCGAGAGAACCTTCTTTCGAGAGCCACGACAGAACTGCTCGTCTCTTCCTGTAGTCCGTATATATGTCGCTTATTCTGTTCACATGTAGGCACCTCGTTGGAAAATTTATTTGATACCATTTATACCTTACGACTATTTAGGATTATTGTGTTTAGGAACGTATGGTTATTGTAACATTGGTTCTTTGCTTCTTAGTTGTTACTTGGTTTGAATACTTTAGCAACAAAAAGCCTTACACCTTTGTATGTGTCCTGTGTTTTGTGTGTAGGATAGCTTTTATACACTGTGTGCTAAATGGCTAGTGGTTTATTTACGTTGCAATGCACATACCGTCACCTATAAAATAATACTAGTAGCTGTAAGTCTAGGATATGAACTTTTGTATTCATGTTTTATGTTATATGTAAGATAAAATAAAGCTTGTTGCTTTGATAAGTTTTTAAATTTAGCTAACTTGACTTCAACTATTTAGCTAAAAAATAAAGTTTGCAACAATTAATATACACATGGCATATTATAAAATATCGCCAATTTTGTTGTATGATTCATATCTTATCAGATGATTATAAGATCATTTGCTCATTTATTATAAAACGTCCGTAATAATTGCAATGGTCACATGTTGATATCTAAATATTAAGTAAATTAAGGCTCTACTAACCACTAAAGATATGTACCATTAAATGTTTATTACATGGAACAGTAATTAATATTAACAAACGGCAAAGAGGTGAGTCTGCAAGACCACTACATACTAATCATGTTTCTAAATTAAGCATGGTGCCATTACTTGCCTTATTCACCATCTATTATCTTGCTACAGATTAATTGGAAAACTATATTGACCGGTTTCTTTTTACTATATTAAGCCGTAGTTAGGAGTTCCTTGTACAGTAAATAAAACCGTGCGTGTAGTATCTCGTATTTTTTAGTAAAATGCAGTTGTAGTAAAAATGTCATGACAAACTAGTTGAAAATCAGTAATTTAACTTGCTATTATATTTTTTTTATGCTATTATTGTTGCATTGTACAAAAATACCTACGAAATATACATATGACGACACATATTATTATATGTCATATTAATCAAAAAAGTAAAATCATAAAAAAACATTATTTCTAAGTTTGTAAAGTTTAAAAAAACTTAGAAACACGTCTGTATTATGCTTGTTGCTAACTAAAATGATGATCATAATTTGATTGATCTGTAATTGAATCTGTAACTTTCGAAGTTAAAAGGAAAGCCTAATTTTAGATTTCAAAATGGATGCAGAATACGACTGCAAGTTCGAGGAGATGAAGAAGTACATTCCATTTCTCGAGAATATGATCACAAGATTGGAGTCTACAAATACATCATCATCGAATCCACGACAGGCGCAGCTCGATAAGATTCGTTCTTTGAGAGATTTGCTTTCTAATAAAAAGAAAAGGTAAGCATCTTACTATTTTAATACTAAAATGTGTTTCTTAGTTTATTGATAAGCTAATTGTGTTTTTTTAAGTTCAAATTAGTGGAGATGCTTTAGTGCAATTGCTACTGAAATGTGTCTAGATAAGCACTTGATCACTAAAATTTTTAAATCTTACTAAAACAAATGACTGCTGTGTTATGTATGATCATGATTCTTATGTAATAACCCTATTATGTTTTTGTAGAATGAAAATGGAAAACTTGTTGAAGTGTGAACAGGTTTTGGTTAACTTATATGCAAAGGTCGAACAGGTCAGTAAATTTTTAAATCTTATGTCTTTTACTAAGTCAATAGAAAATATTACAAAATTGATTTTTTTTGTTCATAGCGAGATACATTATCAAGTACCAAAAAAGAGACTGATTCTGGCTTTTCAATAGATGCGCCTACGCCAAAAGAAAAATCTGATTTGGAGGCTGTTAGAAATAAACTTAAAACTGTCGTCAAATGTCAGGAAAATATTCAAGATACTTTACCCGAGATCTTGCCGCGGAGCGAAATTAATGATGTTTATACTTCAGGTACCAAAGAACCAGCATTATTCCAGAGGAGGCCAAATCAACCAAATCATACCAACCAAGATACAGAAAAAATCAAAATTTCACCGCCAGGTTCGGCTTCTAAGAGAAACTACACACGAGTACTGGTATCTCCTGAACGTAGCTCACGACGCTGGTCATCCTCTGAGGCGCCTGTAGATAAACCTTTATTTAGCAGACGATCTCCTCGTAAGTCGCCTAGACGGGTTTCTCCACCCTACTATAAAAAAGAAAGGAAAAAATCTAAAGATTGGCAATCACGAAAACAAAGAGATCTAAATATTACTCTAAATGTACCCGAGGCAAGCCTAAATTCTTTAAATACTAAAGATATATTATCAAGAATTATTAACTGTAGTGATGGTGACGTTGATATTGAAACGTTGCGAGAGTTAAGAAAACAAATACTCGGAGAGTTACAAAAGACAGGGGCTAAGGATGATATATCAGATTTAATACTAAAATCGTATAATAAGAATGTAAACCAAAGTAACAAAAAGAAATCTACGAAAAAAGAAGAAATAGAAGAAGGCGAATTGTCCGACAGTGAAAGTGAAGCAATTGAAAGTATTTATGGTAGCTTAGTGGTTAAAGAACCAGGTTTGGCTAAAATATCTTCTGAAAATGATTCACAGCCTCGTAAAATTCAAATTTGCCTTGTAATCAATTCTGATAGTAAATCTGAGGTCAAAATGAATGAATTACCAACACAAGATAGCACTGATTTGGCAGAATTAGAAATGTACGAGGACAACAAAGCTAACAAAATAAACGCTGGTAATGAGACATCAATAAATAACGATCACAAGAAAACTACTAAAATAACAAAGAAGGATGAAAAAACCACTGTCGCGCTTTCTAACGATAAAACTGACGATGACCCCACTATCCCGCTTTCCACGGATAAAACTGATCTTAAAAATTCCCAAAAAGTTACTAAAGACGATACTGCTAATGATATCGAAACTGTCTCCACAGAAGAAAAAGCTCTTACCAGTGAGAAAATAAATTCTCAATTCAAAGCAAATTTCTACAACCCGTTAACGGAATCAAGTAATTCAGAAGATGGAGACTCTAAGATAAAAGAAAACGTTTGTGCCCAAGTAGGAACTGACAGTTTTCCTAAAACTTCTACGTCTGATAATATGTTTCAATTTGAGAGTTCAGTAAAAAAAATGGAAAAGTCCTCAGAAATACCCTTATTACATGACCGCACCATTGAAAAACAACCATCAGATAACACATTATCAGAAATTGACATTCTCCAAGCTCTGAAAAATGAAATATTAAGTGAAATATCTGTACCTGGTACCGAGAGCACTACTCCCCTTCTACATCAACCTAAAGTAATTAAAGTTGCTAATGCTCAAGCTAATCAAGTATTACCTAAAAAAAGAATATCTATCGAAAAGTATAAAGAAAAAAGTGTGACATCCTCACAGTCAAGTTTGAATAAAAGTTCTAACAAAGACGATCAGGTAAAAAAACCGAGTTTAAAATTGACAGACAAAGAGTGTGAAAGATTTTTTAATGTTCCGAAAATTCCTTTTGATGATGAAGATGAAAGCTTAGAAGAGGATGGTGATGCAGCTATTGAAACTAGTGACGTATATGGAGATCTCGCTCCTAAATCGCCTGACAATGAAGATTTTAGTAACATCGATTCTACGCCTCCAGTAATAATACCCGTAGATCCGATCAAAAGTGTGCCATCAAATTATAAAGCTGATGTAGATATGAGATCTTTACCACTTTTGTCGCCAAACAACACTAATACAAAAACAGTGTACAATAATACGAGTACCAATAATAATTTAGTTGATAAAACAAAACCTGATATCAAAACAGATCAAAATCATGGCAAAAATAGGTCGGTGCTGATAGATCCGCGTGTCAGACGAGATCTTAATTCAAAAATCAGTACTCATAGTCCTAATCCGCATGCTAATAACCTAGAGAGGACGTCAAGACAAATATACAGTGGTGTTCCGTCTGGTTCTACGTGTAATGCAAAAATGACGCCTAATGCTCGGACATACGAAATGACACCTACTCATCAGTCATTTGAAATAGATCAATCTAATCGAAAACACGTATATGCTTCTATGTCTTGGGAGACTACAGATTCAATTGGAGATCGAAAGTCACGTATCGATGAAGGAAGAGAATCTTGTTGGAAACCACAAACAGATGATGTGGCTCAAAATAAAAGGTTTAGTGACTCATTTAATAGTGATACATATAGCAATGGTCCGGCAAATAATAGGTACATGGATCATCGGGATGATTTATACAGATCAGAAGGCCCCGTAACATCAGCTTTCATAAGATCTGATGTGATAAGAAAAGAAGGTCCAATGACGCCTCTTCCTTCATTTGGGCGATCTGACTGTCCCCCTACGCCTCTTCCTTCATTTGGACGATCCGACTGTCCTCCAACGCCTCTTTCTTCATTTGGGCGATCTGACTGTCCTCCAACGCCTCTTCCTTCATTTGGACGATCGGACTGTCCTCCTACGCCGAATCATCCCTTCGGTAGATTGGAATGTCCTATGACACCTACTCATCCTTTTGGAAGATTAGAGTGTCCTTCGACACCGAACCATCCCTTTGGAAGGTTGGATTGCCCACCGACACCGAGTCATCCCTTCGGAAGACTGGAGTGTCCTCCAACGCCAAATCATCCTTTCGGGAGATTGGAATGCCCACCTACACCATCCCATTCTTTTGGAAGAATGGATTGCCCCAGTACCCCAAGTCATCCTTTCGGGCGATCAGAATGTTCCCCAACGCCCATCCACCCTTTTGGGAGATCTGAAGCACCTCCACCTCTTATGCTCGGTATTTCAGAATGCCCTAATACATCAAATAATCCATTTATTGGTGATGGCTCCACGACACCTACACCATTATTTGGAAGAAACGAAATTGGACCAAGTAGTGGCCAGACATATTCTAAATCTGTATCTCAAACAAAACATTCGTATGGACGTACAGATTCATTGAAAAACCAGTTTGGGAGATCTGATTATAATGCTGCCACTTACATCAAGGATCCTAGGCTTAACAGAAAATCAGATTCAGAGTCAAAGTTACAATATGATGAAAGGGATCAAACCTATTATAAGGAAAAAGATCGTTATCGTGGTGCCTCTTATTCATCACAAAAATCCTATAATGGATCGGGAAGCTATCGACATCGCGATCTAGAGCTAAGTACTGGGAGAAATAGTAAGTATAAATACTTTGCTCCTGAACAAAGTGGAAGAAACTTTAATAAAGATCAGGATAGACGTGATCGTGTTGTAGGCCGTTCGCAATCAAAGGATCACGAAACTTGCGGAGCTTACGGTAGGGAACGTTGGTTTAATAGTGACCATAGATTACATGAAGAAGTTGGTTCACGACGTGAAAATATATGTAAAAAAAATACTGGGCGTGGTTCAGGATATGAAGAAACAAGTTCTTCCGAGAAGCCACCTAGTGATAATAACTCAAAAGATACACTGTCTGTGAAATCTAATACTGGACGATCTTTTACCATTGACACTAGTATCAATGCCACATTTCAACAAATTATAGACAGTGCTAATGAAATTCAAAGTTTCGTCAGCAGTTTTGATATGAGGAGGCAAAGGGCTGGTAGCGTAGGACGATCGCTAACCCGTGAGCCTAGTTTAGGACGGGTACCAACGCAAGTTAGCAAGGCCCATAACGATGATAATGAAAATAAGAGACGAGCTTTCCAACGAGCATCTAGTGTCGGAAGAGAAGTATTTGATTCTAAAAAAGACAAAAGGAGCTTACAAGAAATAAAAGCTGATTTCAAATCATGTAGGTTTTTCGGGGACAAATTTTTTGATGATAAGAATAGTGGAACTTATAATAACAAATCAAAGATAACGACAGATAGCGGTCATAGTAATAAAGATACGTATGACAAAAAGAAAAATGAGTCAGAGCATGCTAAGTCTTCGTATTCACCTAGAAGGAATTATAGAGATCCGAGAATGCGTAAATTAGCCTCCAATAAAACTGATAGACACGGGTCAGATAATTATGGTCACAAACGTGGTATTGTGTATTCAAATGATAAAATTGTATCGGGATCGGTTTTGGCATCTGGTTATGGCGTTAAAAACTATAAAATACCGAAAATAAAAAGAATTACGGAGGAGAAAGTAGAAACCTTGGCAAAACCTGATTCCCGCACTAAAAATAGTGACAAAGACAAGCATTTTAGAAAAGAAAGCGACGATAAAGAAAAAGGGTTATATAAAAAAAAGCAAGACCAAAAAGAAAAATTAAAACAGGATGATATTACTCCTGAAAATGAAAAAGATAAGGTAACAGTTAAAGAAGTCAGTAAAAAAATTTCTGAAAAAATAGTCGTAAGTGATTCTACTGAAAAAAGGCTAACAAGATCTAGCAAAAAGACGGAAGAAGCTAACTTAGATACGGCAGTTAAATCGAGAAAATTCAAAAAGTTAATTTATGATTCTGAATCGGATGACGACATAGAAACACAGAGTAAAGATACTAACATAAAAGAAAAGGAAAACACCATCAAAGAAAAATATATAGATAAAAAGGGTGCAGACTCAAATAGAATAGGAATAGATGCAGACGAAGTTATAGCCAACAAACAAGTTGATGACAACAAACATGAACCTAAAAATAAAGATATGGACCCTCAAATCAAAGAAATACTTTCTGAATGTGAGGAATTATATACAGAATCAAAAAGTAAGGATGTAAAATCAAAAAGCCGGGATACTAATATGAAAAATTTCGATGTACCTGTGAAAGAAAAATTGAGCCCTGGTACAACGTTATCACGTGTTGACCACGAGTCTAACTTTGGTATGGATGAACTAGAAATCTTTTCCGACAACGTCGTAAGTGATCCCGTAATTGAAAATATCACTGCTCTGATTGCTGATCTTGATAATGATCTTAATACGTCAAAGGGTGAATCGGGTCACCAGTTCACTAAAGAAATCACTTTGGAAAATATGATGGAAAATATTTCGAGTCCATTAAAGGACCGTTTAATGGAAATGGACGAAGAGGATTCAGCTAAAATACTTCAACATTCAAAGAACAAAGTTTCAAATAATAAAATTGAAGAAAGTGACACAAATGAAAATCCGACAAAAGAAGTTCCTTATGAAAATCAGATTAAGAGTGATGCTGGTTTCAACCATTTGGAATCATCACATTCGGAATATGATAGCTTAAAAGAAGAATTCTTAGCTGAAAATGTGTGTATGAAAAATTCTGCTGGAAATACACCAACTCAGAGTGACGCAGGAAATAATGGAGTTAATAAAAATAACGTCGACTCTACCACTGAAACTAAAGAAACAGGCAGACCTCATGAAGATCAGTCAAAATTAAATGAAAATGTAGATGTATGTTCTACTCCAGACAGTACGATCAATACAGATGATGTACTCAAATTAAGTAACGAGGAAAGTTTGCAAGGTAGTACTAATGAAGTTACATCAACAGAATCCATTGAACTTCAACCTATTTCTGCTAAGGAAATAACTCCTGGATTAGATTCCATCGGCAGCTTATTGTCCATTTTGCAAAATAAATCTAAAATAAAAGAATTACTTAGCATGTTAGGTGATCAATCTAGTGAAAACGAAAAAATCAAGAAAAAACTTGAAAAATTAAGTGAAATAGTTTCAGATGATGAAGAAAGTTGTGATGTACCTACAACTCGTATAGACCAAGAGGTTGATAAAGTGGAGTCGTCTGAGATTACAGATATGAATACAATAGATACAATAGATTGTAAAGAGATGGAAGATACAGATGTTGATCAACTAAGTAGAGACAGTAGTATAAATAATGAAAACAGTTTAAAATTAGAAGACGATGATACTAAAACTTCGGATATTGAGAAAGAGGTCCAATGCAAAAGCAAAGATATTTCAAACGTCGAAGCTAAATCTAAAAAGAAACCCGTCAAGAAAACCAAGTATGTGAAAAAAGCAAAGGGGAAGGCAAAAAAAGACACTGTTGTTACAGTAAAGCGAATCACTCGTGCAGCTGCAGCAGAAACTAAACCAAAAGTAAAAAAATTACCCCGTGAGCTAATGCAATTACAAGAAGATATAAAAGAAATGTTCATAAGAGATGAAGTGTTGAGTGCTACCGGCATAAGAATGTGTCGTTTAGCTAAACTAGTTGATGAAAAAATATCGCCATCGAAAGATGAGCAATTTGTCTCTGAAGGTGGACCAATAGTGGTTTTAGAGAAGTATAAAGATACGCCAAATAAAAACTTTGATGCCCAAAAAAATAAAAAGAAGAAAATAGTGACAAAGGTAAAAATTAAAACCTTTAACGACAGTGTCCCGGAAACAATTACAGAAGATAAGGCGCCTATAACTTTTAAGCATAAACCTGGCCCTAAATCAAAGACAAAATATAAAAAGAATTCTGACCCTTACGTATTTGAATCGGATTTGGTTTGTGATACTATACCAGAAAAAGTTAGTGAAGATGGCTCCAGTAGTAACACTGACTCTGAGAGCGATTCACTCACATCTTGTAAAAGTTTTAGTAGTACAGAATTGTTATCGGATTTAAAGAAAAAGACAAAACGCAAACGACGTGGATGGCAAGCTGGTGTAATCAAGACTAAAACTAAAAAGAAGAAAGAGCTGCCGAAAAAACCTGATCCCACACCGGATGACGGCAATGAAAATATTCACTCTGAGGTCGCGGTGCCGGATCTAAGCTGTTACACTGACCGAAATTATTGTTTCCAGAAAAACCAGTTTTCTTATTCATGCCGACTCTGTTCTTTCACCGGTACTGACATAGTACTTCATTATAGAAATCAACATCCACATACTGAGATTCCGTTATCTCGAATGAGTCCTGAAGTTGCAAATGAAGCTATTGAACAATGCGTAGAAATAAACTTTCCAGCGGTCAGCAAAATAACTTCAGATAAATACGTATGTACATTTTGTTTCAAAGAATTCAGTTATAGCAAATCGGTTTTGGAAACCTTCTTTTGGCACATAGTAAGTATGCACACCGGCGAATACAAGCAAAACTGCTCTGAATGCGTCAACATACACGAGTGCCCATTTAATTTAGATATTCCGCCCCCTCCAAAGGACACTAAAGGCCAACTTATTGGTTTTATTTGCAAAAAATGTAACTTTACTCAAATTTCTTTAGAAAATCTGAAAACTCATGTAATTAAGCGCCATAACGATGAACAGACCGCTGTCTATACAATTAATATGTCAGTAATGAATAAAAAAAGTTTGATCTCCCTAATACGACGCAGCGCGCATGATGAAATGTTGCAACCAAGAAATCGTACTTCAGACCAAGTTTTCGCAGATATAAATGAAAAATGTAAAGACAGTGTGGAAAGCGATGAAAGTGAAGGGGTTAAAACTCGTACTTCGGCGAGAAAATCAAATGCATTAATCACGCCACCCATACAATCCAAGATCACTTTTGAAGGGGACGATAACATCAGTGAAGCATCAGATTTGGTTAGTGAACCTAGCGAAATGAGTATAAAACTGGAAAAAATAGATTCAGAAAGTGCTGATGTAATTTCTAACCATGAAGAGAACTTAGCAACGGATAAGCTCTCAAATATAGAAGATCAGTTAACCAATCAACCACTAGAATGTTCTGAACTCCAGCCTTCTAGCGATATTATTAATTGTTCACATTTTAAAATAAATGTAACAGAGTCTGGTGCCAAGGAATATTTGTGTTGCATCAATGACAGCTATCACTTCAAGACAACTCTTTTAATTTCTATGAAAAAACATGTCCAAACCAAACATTCGGAAAACTGGGACGGTTTTTGCTACGTGTGTAAAGTTATTGTAACACCCCAAGGTACACACCGCTTCAGTGATTGCTTGCAACACTATTTAGATAAACATATGGACAATTTTCCGGTACTAGAAAAAATAATTACAGAACCTGTTTCTGAGAATCTATCGGTTAAAAAGTCATATATTAATGTTCGACCTATTTCTGAATTGATTACTAAATCGGAAGATGATACTAGAATTCCAGAAAACGCGTCTTTGCCAATAATCCAAAGTGTTAGGAGTCTTGGCTCCATTGACGTTGAAACTCCTCAGCTGAACCCTACGTTCCCAGCAGTTATGCGGAAAAAACAAGAAGAAAATAAAACTTATAGATACGAAGAACACCAGATCGAAATCGTATCAAAGAAATATTATTTAGTTTTAGAAGCCATGATGGCTACAAACAATTTGGTGAAACTCTTTAAGTGTTCCGGTAGATACTGTTTATACGCTACGGACTCTTCCGAAGAAGCTTTAGCCCATGCGACAACACATCAAAGAATCGGCGGCGTCGACGCGTTGAACTGCTGTTATTGTGATTTTGACTCTGCCGGCAATGCCGTTGACCTGGTGATGCACGTATTCAAGACTCATGGAAATTGCCATTATTGCTGTCGGCAGTGTTTTTACAGGGCCGCGTCTAGTCAGGCCGTTGGGGCGCACGTCTCTAGAGTTCATGGAGTTTCGTTAGTTCCCGGCAGCGTATTACGAACAACAACGGTCCCAACTATTCAAACAAATTTTAAGATGCTGACGCGAGAAGAAGCCGTGTCGTATTACATTTGTGGCCACAGTAAGTATACGTATATTTGAATCTTATATTCGTAAATACTAACAAATATGATTAATTTACGATAAACTGTACAATAGACTACACGGATGGCCTAGTGGTTTAAGCGGTGGTTACCTTGCCGCTTTCTACATACATACGCTAAGTGTTGTGGGTTTTGATCCACAAATTGTTTTCCTAAGTCTGGGTGTTTTTTGTATCCGTTTCTTGAATGGTTTGTAAAGTGCCCCCGACACAAGATATATTCCTAGCGCGAAACTTATCTTAAAAAAATATTAAAATTTCAGAAGATAACGGTGATTCCTGCAAGTTTCGCGCGTACACACCAGACAAGTTTTGTGACCATTTACTACAGCGACACACCACTGCTTCTGCGCATCCTTGCCACGTATGTTGAATTTAAATAAGAAAATATGCTTCAGCTTATGTGTAAATAAAATATATGCTATGCTAAGTAATTAGGAAATTCCACTATGCGCCGTTTAATTACTAAATCTTGACAAGCATTACCATTTGGCTGTTATTCTATAATGAATGTATCCGCTTTGGCTCCTGTAACTGATCCATGTGAATAACATTTACTTAATGATGTGTTAATAAGTGGTTTATTTCTTTTAGTCGTGTGACGCAGATATTGCTACACCTACCGATTTAATTCAACATATGAAGAGTCATGGATTAAAGTTATACCAGTGTACTTGGTGCGTTCATGGTGCAGACAATGAGAATGAGATGTTGACTCATGTGTCCATTGATCATCCAAATAAGCAACCACAAGCTTATATACGAATAATTACTAACAAGGTGCGTAATTCTGTAAATATTGTCTTATTATGTATCTAGCGATTTGAGTACGATATTTTAAATGATTTAAATGTTTAGGAATCAATATATGTTTATTAGTAAATATTTTACTAGTTTTTTTACTGAGTGTACCGGACTAAACACCTTCAACGTTTTTTTTTGGCTTATTTCAGGATGGCTCGAATGCACTAAGAGTTCTTCCATTAGCCTTCCTAACTAAACAAAAAGTAGAGGCAAAAGATGTGACTCCGTCTGCTACCAAGGAGCATCCTGTCCGTGAAGCAGAGCGTTCCATTGAAATGGAAGCTCTTATTGGACCATTTATGAATGAACCCATACAACAATCTGCCTACCAAACCAATGAAACACCCCTAAATACGTCTGAGACACCAATACATACCTCTGAAATACCTGAAGAATTAATTGAATCTTCTCAAGACACTAAACCTGTACTGAATGTTAATGCGTCTAAACAGAACGAAGAGACAATATCTCAAGTTATTCAACCATCGAATCCAACATCGATCGTCACTGCTTCTTCACCGACTGATATAGTTGCTCCATCATCATCTGTCACTGCTACTTTATTACCTTCTCTGACTGTTTCTCCAACTGTTGCTGTTACCCCTCTAGTCGCCCCTCCAGTAATTAGTTTATCTTTAATGGGTAGTCATGATCATGATACAACTCCTGTAACAATTAATACCGTAACAGCGCCTTCATTAATTCCTTCGGATACGCAATTGAATTTACTAAAACCGGAACCCATTGACACAGAGAAACTAGTTTCAACTGACGTGGTTGTCCTAGACAGTGATGAAGAGGACACATCCGCTGCTAACCAAGCTTCTGTCATTGATCTTTCTGATGACGAAGCATCCACAAGTTCAAAGCAGGAAACATCTAAAATTATTCCTAATGCCAACTTATATACATGTCCACAGTGTAAACAAATTTGCAAGAGCATGGGAGGCTTTAAAAAGCATATATACAGTTGCGTAACAGATTTCTCGCGTAGCTTCCAATGCCCTCATTGCAAGTATAATGCTGAGAGTCTAGAGAAGATCACCTTGCATTATGTTGCAGATCATACACAGAATAGCACGTTTGAGTGTGGTTTGTGCAGGGTACTATTAGTCTCCGAAAATTCCGCCAAAAAACATATGAGATCAGTTCACAAAGAGAGTAACATTAAGTTTACGCGGGTCGAAAAAGCCCGCTTTATAGTAAGTGTAAAGGAACCACAAAAAGAAAAAGTATTACCAAAAAGAAAACTGAGTGGTCCAAAGACTGATCCGATACCGGCGAAGCGTAGATTCGAGCCACAAGAAATCGATCAGCTTCCTATAAGTCCCATTTTAGATCAGTTAGTATACTGTTCTAGGTGCGAGTTTAGCACGAAGGTTCGCCTAAACATGGTCAGACACCTGCAGCTTCATGCTGAGCAGCAACCGGTGCCACAGACGGCACCGGTTAATCCTGTGCCACACTTAGAAAGCAATGAGAAACACTTTGATAAGATGTTAAATTTAGCGTCTAGTTCTATAGTTAATAGAATACTGGATAAGTCTCGTGCGGAGCACACGCCATCAGTAACTTTACTTATACCCCCAGAGGCGGCGTCACGATATCCTAAGTACGTGCCGGAGCGACAGAGGCATACATGCGGCGCTAAGGGCTGTTCGTATATTTCAGTTGACGAAGCTATGCTACGTCGTCACTGGGACGCATTGCACTCAGGGACGAGTGACTTCCACTGTGTTCACTGTCCTCCTCATCAACATCTTGATACTTCCAAACCTTTGACAGCCACTCGTATCGTATCTCATTTAAAAATGCACGATTCCACACTTTATGCATGCTCCTCATGCTCTTATTATCATTTCAAGCGTGAAGCTTTAGAGAAGCATCTGTCCGAAATTCATAAAACCGGACGGCTGATGGTTGTAAGGGAGAAGAATAGCGCACCCGTCGCGCCGGCGCCTGTCCTGAACAATGCTGCGCCCACTATGGACTTAAAGCCGTGGCAATGTGGCTTGTGCAAGTTTAAGAGTATGCTGCGCCCAGAGGTGGTGGATCATTGTTCGAAGTTCCATCAGTCGAAAATGCAGTTTAAATGTGCTTACTGTCCGTTTAGGACATCCGCTATTGAAAATGTCACTAAACATCAAAGTAATTCTCATGCGGGAAAGTCTCAAGAAGTTTTTTACTATTATTACCGCGAAGGTTCTATACCTGATGACACTGACGGAACCCCGCGATGGATGAAACAACGGCAAAAAGCGGGCTCTTCAGAGCCTGAAGTGAAGGTCGAATCCTCAGAGTCTCCACCTCCGAAGGCTATAACAGCCACAGAGACCACTTCTCTCACTGTTGATCTTAACTTAGTAAAGAAAGAGGCAAATGAAGCAGCTGAAGCTGGGCTCACTGATATGCACGTTTTGTGTCAACAATTTGGACAGTTTTGTGAGCCCAATGGAATTAAATATAAGTGTCCACTGTGTTCAGTTGTCATGGAAGATACTAGAGAATTGATGCAATCACATTTGTTTGAAGAGTTGAATTATAGAAAGTAAGTAATTATACTTCTTTACGATGATATACAGGGTTACTGCTTAAGTCGACCTAAATACTTTAGGGGGGTTGTGTAGCCATCATTTCACATATGGACCCAGTCATGCTGTAGTGCTACTGTAAACATGTACCAGCTGTTACGACTGGGAGAACGCTTCACTGGCGGCGTCCCTCTACTCGTAATACAGCTTGATTCCCAGCACGAGATAGTGGCGCTGCCGTACCGTGTTGGCGACTGTTGATTACGTCACCGAAAAATATATTGTCACAGTAGTTATCTATATACTCTGGTTATAACTCTTAGTGAAAAATAAAGCCTATTATTATTTTGCCATCATACGCATACACGTCTAACAGTATCAGAAGCACAAATCAACTTTCAGTTAGCAATTCTTAGTCACGAATAGATAGGGGAATGGTCCAAAAATACAAGTCAAGTTTTTAACTAGGTACTACCGGGTTGTACGGTAATTGTTAATGCTCCCGGCCTTTCATCTAAGTTTTTTTTTATGAATTCTGATATTACCCCAGACTATTATGTCTTATTAGATAGGTGACAATACGTGCATATTTTTTAACAAATCTGCGACGTAACTGTCATTGTGTTTTTTTATAAATATTAGTTTTAGATTTTTTTTATTTTTGCTATTATAAACCATCCATTACTTATATAATGTATTCTATAAATATTTTTCAGATGGAGTTGCGGTCTATGTTCATATAAGGGATTTCATAAAGCTGGGCTCACTGACCACATGTTGTCCGAGCATCGAAGACAATACGACCACATCGAACTACCTACTGACATTAACATAGAAAGATGGGTCAACAGTATGCTGGATCACCAGGCCTCCATTATAATGAAATACAAAGATAACCTGGCAAAACAATCAATTATTATTGAACACAACAAACCTGGTCCTTCTGTGGAAATTGTGCTTCCAAAGGAAAATGTTGGAAAGTACTCTGATAAGGATTTAGAGACCACTTTTGGCTCATTTGGCTCACCCAACGGGTTAATGTTCTGTTGTCCAAAGTGCAGTTTCGTGTCGAAGGACGAAGTACCGATGAGAGATCATTTGGAGATGGAATTAAATAAAATAAGGTAAGGGATGTCATTCCTTTCATTCTCATAAATTTTGTAAAATTTTTTTTTTACTCAAACCAAAGATCGAGTATGATATGATTTACAAGTCGTTTCCTGCAGTTTTAGTTCAGTTTCAAAGATTAAGGCATTAAAACAAGAAAACTGAAAAGTTTTTATGTTTATTATAATTAACATATTGTAGTCCTAAGTCCTAAAATCGATCTAAGTGGCGTGCAATGGGAGAGGCCTATGTCCAGCAGTGGACTGCGATAGGCTGATGATGATATTGTAGTCCTTAAAATGAAGAATCTTAAAAATTTGACCCTAGATACACTTACATACAATCAACTCAGGAATTTTGCACATGTGTGTACTGAAATGATTCTAGGAAGATCGTTAACAATGTATAAAAACGTAAATGAATAGTAAAAAATATGTTCTAGAAACTAGAAGGTAAAAGAATATAAAAAGCTATTTGCATATCTGTCTTACTATTTTTTGTAATTGGTTCATGAATGCTCTTTAAATACTGGATACGCCTGATGTATGAGTTGAACCTTCTAATATTTGACACCAATAATTTTTAGGTGGTGTTGCACCAACTGTACAGAGCATTTCCAGACTTACCATGAAGCTCAGTTCCACTGCAAGGGCCATGACGGCCCTTCTCGGCCCATAGAAGCGTTAAGAGATCCAGCTATGCGTGCTACATGGGTCTCAACAACTATACAGAAACAGAAACAAGGTATTCAAGAAATCCCTACAGCCTCGGTATCTCCCACACCTGAAAAACTTCTATCAGAAAATGATAATTCTCTTCTCGTCGTTCGCTATGAGGAAAAAGTGTCCACTCCCGATCAAGGACACCTGAAACGAAAACGAACAGCTCCAGACAGTGACGACGAAAAACTCGTGATTGACGAACTGCCAACTAAAAAGAGAGTTGAAAAGCACTGCCTACACTGCGACTATAAAAGTGTAAACTACAATAATGTTAAAGTTCATATGCTGACACACTTCGGATTGAAACCTTACGCTTGTAGCTATTGTTATTTCACCAGTTCCACAAAAAAATGTGTAACAAAACATATAGAACAAACACACCCAAACAAACCTTTCAAAGTTAAGGCAACAGATCTCCCTCCTGAGGCAAAAATACCAATAACCAGAAAAACTCTCATATGCTTAGTATGTGAAAAGCCCATCTCAGAGTCTGATACTCATACACATTTACACAATAACGTGAAGCCGGAATTTTCGGGAAGTGCATTTGTTTACAAATGCAGCATATGCTCGAAACTATGTCTGGACTCTACATCTTTAATGGAGCACAACAATAAAGCACATCCTGGGGAGCCTGTCAAAGATGTTCTATATAAACTAGGAGTTGACACGACGGAAATTTATAAATGTGTATATTGCGATACTAAATTTAAATACATAAAAGAGTATAGGGCTCATCACATGGCTGCCCACCCTACATTACCGTCTAAAATGAATCTTTCGTCACCCATGGGTATGTCAGAGATTAAAGAAAGTGATGTGGTTCCTTCTGCACCAAAGAGATGCGCAAGAAAGTCGACAACAAAGCTTCCAAATTCCGTTGCTAAGAAATCTACTACAAAATTACCAAACACTGTGCAGAACGTTTTTTACAATTGCTACTCGTATTACGGTACAAAAGCTCCACCATTGCAACAATATGCTAATATAACAACTCTGATGTCATTTTGTAATAGGATGGTACCATTCTCTTTAAAGCAGTTAAGTGAACATATCAATATTGAGCCAAAAGTTATGGTGACTGACATCAAAGACTCTAGTGATTATAACAAGTTAACAATGTAAATATCGTACAAAGTACTATGAGCGATCAACTTCTATAGTTTAGGCTGTTTAGTTAGTTACTGGTATGGATTGTGTTGTGCTTAAACATTGTTACACAATCTCAAGACTTTTTTACTTTAAAAAGGTAAAGAAATATTATTTTGCTTGTCATTATTTATGCAGAATGTATATCTTATTATTGACGTAGTGTAACCAGTAGCACCCTGTTTTGAAACAGAATTAAAATACAGTGCAATGTGTAAGTAATGATTTCAGTTCATTATTTTAACTGTTTTAAAAGTAAGGCCCTCATTACGCTTATATGGGCCTCGTAGTTTATGCTTAAGACTTAACATACCTTTGTTAGTATAAAATCTGTGATTTATGATACATTCTTGTAATATTATATAAGTTAGTATTAGAAATTTGGCTGGAGTTTACATGCTAATATTTGGAGCATTTATATCAATTTAAGTGGTCTTGTTCCTTTGTTTTGTTATCCTTGGCTATGGACTGAACTAAATTGTAGGACATCCCTAGTTTTAGTTTCTCTTACATGGATGGGGGGAGGGGGGGGGGGGCACATTTAAATATCATGTTGGTAGCTCTCAACATTTTTGTGTTGTTTAAGTCTGTAGTCTATTATATTTTGTATTGTAATGATTCACTTGTCCTATTGTGTTAATTTGTGTCCACTGCCAAGTTTAACTGGCTTTTTAGACATAATAGTGCTGGTAAACTGTAGATCGTGCCCTTAAAGGCTGAAAATTTATAATTTGTGTGTGATTGTAAATCGTTTATTTTTTTCTACTAAAGTTGATTTGATCCTGTGGAATCTGTACTCAGTGTTTGTGATTATCTTCAATCGTTGAATAGAGTAGGATTGTTTATTTGCCAAATACTTCCCCTTTAAAACAAAATAAAGGATTTTGTAATAATATGTTCGTCTTTATCCCTTATACGTCAAATTGTGTGGTAAATGTATTTCTTTAATCTGAATAAAAATATATGTAATTATATTATATATATATAGGTTTTGTACCCCACAAAACCTGCGCAATTAATCCAGGTGGTATCATTAAACAAAGGAAAAGGGTATTAAGCGAAAAACAGAGGATTTGTTTAGTTAAGAGTACCACAAATAAGTATACACCTAATAAACCTTTAAACGAGCAATTCTTGTATATATGTGTAAATATATATATATATATATATAATGTGGGGCATCACGGACCCGTGATACCACTCAATGACGCCAACGGTAGTGTCAAGGGTATTTTTCAATCCCCATGACACCACCGGCAGTGTCAAAGTTATTATTCTTTTACATCATGACACCACGGAGTACCTAATAGAAATAAAGATATTTATTTAATGAAATAAAAGTCAGCCGAGCCTCATTCGGAGGACAGAAAAAGACGGCAATGACGACAATTTGTCAAAATTTATCAGATATACCTATCGAAAGTTATTGGTTGAAAGTGCATTCCTAAGGCGCTGTCTCCACGAGCGAGAGAATCGCGGCGATATTATCGTCGTGCCACGTATTTCTATATACTCTCTATGAACGCGTCTCCACACTGCGATGTTATCGCGGCGATGCGACGAGTGGCAATGTGCGCGCGTAACGTCGTCGTATCGCCGCGGTATCGTCGCTACTAGCGGCGATCTCGCACCGAGCGCGCTGTCAAATGCAGCGTCATTTCAGCGTTGCATCTCGCCAAGCAAGGACTTTACGTATCGACAAGCATACAATATAAGTACAATGTTTAACATTGAAAAGTTTATATTGAAAGTGAGAGAGAGACCTGCCCTTTACGATGTTCAGTTGCCCTAGTATCTGAACAGAGAAATAAAGGCAAGGTGTTGGTATGATGTGGGAAGTGCTATGTTCACGGAATGGGATGACCTAACCTCTAAAGAAAAAAAAGAAAAAGGTAAGCGTTCAATACTATTTATTTAGGTAATTTTAATTAAGTTATAATTATAAGAAAGATAATTTTATTTAAACGATGTAGTCATTTTGCCAAGAAACCGTGCCCACTGTGTTAAAATAATATTTAAATAAGTTTCGAATATGCATCCCCGAATTCCTTGTCCTTTGAAGTACGGGTGTCATATTTTGAAGATTAGATATGTCTTCATTGTTGCTATCAGTAGCATTATGCTCGTTTTCCCCGTTATTGGCCTTTAATGCTTGACGCTTTATGAAGTTGTGCAAAACACAAGCTGCTTTTATTACAAGAATTGCAGTGTCCGGTTGAAGATTTATTGTATTATGAAAATGAAATTTTGATGAGAGCTGTCCAAAGACACATTCCACATAACGTCTCGCACGAGACAGTCTGTAGTTGAAAGTTTTTTCATTCGTAGGAAGACATCGACCTGGATACGGTCGCATTAAATTTCGATGAATACCGAAGGCCTCATCGGCTACCATTACATATGGCATTTTGGGTCCGTCAAATACCAGTTCTTCTTCTGGCAAATCAAGAGCTTCTTCATACAGCTTTTGACCTAGAATTGAAGATTGAAAAATAGTAGAATCATTTTCACGGCCATAAGAACCTACATCAATAACAGTAAACAAATAATTTGAATCCACCAAAGCCAATAAAACGATTGAGTTGTACTTTTTATAATTAAAGTATAGAGAGCCGCAATTTCGGGAGCACTGAATTCGAATGTGTTTGCCGTCTAGCGCTCCCAAGCAATGTGGGAAATTTGCATTGTCGTTAGAGATGGTCGTTTTTGTAAAAACGTTTTTAAGCATCGATGCCAGTACACGATGCCGGCATCCGATGCCGATATATTGAAAAACGGATGCCCGCAACATCCGATGCGAACTTCACCGAATGCGAGCGAGCGAGAGGCGCCAGATGACTACGAAACGGAAAACGCGGCGATGACAAGTCGAAGCATCGATTTGATGATAAATGCGGTTGTACTTGGAAGACGAAATTTTGCCCCGGCAAAACGTTGACGGGGCGTGGAGCGGTCCAATGAATGGTGGCTCCGTCATTCCAAAATATACCCGACGTTGGCAGAAATATACCGTTCGAGGTGTAATATTGTGATAACTTCTGTGCCATGCGAACGGATATTCTCCAAAGCCGGGTATATTTTGAATGAACGAAGATCTCGTCTTTCAAGTTCCAAATTAGAAAAATTGGTTTTTCTTAATGTAAACTCTAATTTTGTTAAAAGTGAAGACTAATATTAATTACCTTATGTTTATTCTACAACCTCTATACTTTTTACCAGTAGAACTCGTAATGTTGTATTTCTAAATAATTTACAGTTATAAAATAGGTATCAAATGATTTCAATAAGGCAACGTTACCGAATACCTATCTAATATTCATACGCAGACACTTTAGCCGGCTACTAATTTTGTCTAATCGAAAATCGCATAATCAAATCGATGCCAGAAAAAACGATGCCGGCATCGGATGCGGTTCACTGATTAACGATGCGCATCGATGACAAAATTTAACGAAAACGCCCATCTCTAATTGTCGTTAAATCCCTCTGAGATTCTTTTCCATGATTCTTTGTTTGGGGTTGCCATTTCTGTAGGTGCTAGCTCTTTCCATATAATTCCAAATGTTTCTTTTATTACTTTAGCTAACGTTTTTTTAGAAATTTTGTACTTATTCTGAAGGCGTTTATAACTTGATCCAGTAGCGAGATATCTGAAAAATGACATTATTATTTTAAAAATATACTTTTATCATGTTCTACTTTTTTGAAATCGGTTCAAAAACGAAGACCCCACCAAAGCGTTAGGTTTTCATTAATCTGTGTTGTTTTTTATTAATATACATAACAATATATACATAATAATATACATAACAATATATACATATGAGTGCACGGATGGCGTAGTGGTTTAAGCGGTCGCCACGCCGCTTCCTACTACGCCGAGTGTTGTGGGTTCAAACCCCACATGGGACGACACTTTGTGTGATCCACAAATTGTTGTTCTGAGTCTGGGTGTTCTTTGTGTCCGATTCATGTATGTTTGTAAAGTCCCCCGCGACACAGGATTTATTCCTAATGCGGGCGTTGTCTTTTTAAAAAAACAAAAAAAATTACATACATATTATATATACGTTACATAATATACATATACATGGCATACATTTAATATAGGTACTAAAAGAAATGTGAATATATATATATAATATGTGTATGTTTGTGTAATCTGTATTATTTTTACGAAAAACAAATAACAATCAATTTTGGTTCACTTGTGTCTAGCCAAATTGTAAAAGTGCTTCAGTGCTATTCTAAATAAATAAAATTTAATTTAACAATTCTTTATTTCAGGACTTGAGTTAATGACAAAATGGAAATCTTTAAGGGATCAATTTCGTAAGGAGTTAAAGTTGCAGAAATGTTCAAAATCCGGTCAAACTGCCTCAAAACGACGAAAGTATATCCATTATGATGCATTACTTTTTTTAAAGAAACACACAGAACACGCTTTAACATCGTCAAACATGCTCAATAAAGACAGTCAAGATGTTTTTGAGGATGACGACAGTTCGGTTAATACCACCCCCAGTGTTACTGAACCATCTAATAAAAAGAAAACATTAGTTCAAATGTTTCTGGAATCGAATAAAGAGATATCGAATGTTATGCGCGAGAGCATATAACGACAATATAACGACGAGCGTGGAAATGAGGCATTTTACCGTTCGATGCTACCACTTATGGACAAAATAAAAGAAGATTATTTAATTGATGCCAGAACTGAGATTATGGCTGTGATTAAGAAATACATACCACCATCACATACATTGGAAGAATCATATTCTCGTACATCCACACCAACAAGCAATGACGATATTGCTCAAATGTTAGAACACTTTGATGGAATATAAACTTTACGATTTATATGACTGATGTAAAACTTACTGTAGTGTTACTGCTGATCTTTCACATGGCCCGATACTTTTCCTCATATTAGTATCTTGCTTTGATAAGTTTCTTGACAGTAAACTTAACAGTTCATCGAAGACAGCGCCTTAAATGTGTTCAGCGTTTTCAGCGAACGTTATCGGACGACGAATGTTGCATATTCTTTCATTTTAGATTGAACAAACCCGTATAAATATGTACTTGAGTAGAAAAACAACAATTCAACGTTTTGTCGTACATTCACGATTTGAAGATACCTATATTTTAAATTTGAACCTTGTTGCAGTTTGTGTCCGTCAGTGTTTATATAATAATTACCCTTGACACCACCGGTGTTGCACTAGTATGTACGTACAAACGGTCTACACTATAGACACTAGTCATCGTCTCGTTCGAATGAGATACATCTGTATTACTATTCGTGAATTTGAATTCTTTAGTACGGCAGCGTATGTATATATACACAGGGTTACTGGTTAAGTCGACCTAGACTTTAAGGGGTTGTAGTTGCCATCATTGCTGAAATTTATTAGAAATTTTGAAATACCAAATCTAACCATTTTCAAGTTTAAGATTTTTAGATTACAAGACAAGATTTTTTATAAAAAAAAATTATATAATAAAAATACATTTTTTTAAAACTTATATCCTATTATATTTCTATTTAAGATTTTTGACATGTGACAGGTAAATTTTTAAGACTTGTAGCTATAGATAGTTCAACTCAGATGTGCGCGCGGCCCTATGTGTGCGTAAACCTTGTACATATACAGTGACTTTGTGTGCGTGACGAGGTACAGTCGTACACATACAAATATAGTTATTTACGGGTTATATACGGGGTTTTAAAAAAAAGAGTTATTTCGTAATGTAATGTTTATTTATTGAACATTATTCTGAATCGCTACTTGAAAAATCAAATGATGAATTTTCGGATTCGATGCTCTCACCAAGGTTAATTATGAATTCTGACTCGTCGACATTATGCGAAGCAATATAATTCTTTAAAATTCCCCACACATTTTCTATGGGGTTTAGTTCAGGATGATATGGTGGCAGTCGAAGAATTTTTATGGCATTTGGCTGAAGTATGTCGTCAATCTTGTAACAGATATATTTTTCTTTATTTTTTTTTTAATCAAATCATAGTTCAATTTTTTTCATATCTTGATTAAAAGCTATATTATTTTTTTGGAATTAGAATTTGGGGCTCTGTCATTTTGAACGTTATGGTATGAGGCATTATCAAGCACAACCACAGAGTTAGGTGGAAGATTCGGTACTAGACGTTCTTTTAGCCACTTTTCATAGTTTTCTGCGTTCATGTTAGAGTGGTAATCACCAGAAACACTATTTGCTTTGTATGTCAATAGTGCGTTAGGTACGAAACCTTGTTCTGAACCAGCATGCACAATGATAATTCTTTGTCCTTTCGACAGGTTTCTCTTTAAAGGTGGTCCATCTTTATTACCCCATCCTTTGTTTTGCACATGATTAGTTAAGATGTAGCTCTTATCTGTATATACGATACACCGATTTTCTTGACGGTATCTGAGTAAATTTTTTAGGTAGGAAAATCGTAGTTTTTTGATGTCATGCCGCTCTATAATAACACGTCTGTTATCCACAGTTTTTCGCCATTTGTATCCCAACTTTAACAAAGCTGTACGCAGAGTCGAAATACTTCCATCATAGTTAAGTTTCTCTTGAAATATTCTTTTCAACTTTAGCAAGGTAGGTAACTCGCGATGTTCTAAATGGTAATTTTGAATAGTGGAACGTATAACATCAACGTTAAAGTTGTCTAGTTCTAACTTTTTTAAACTTTTTTTACGGTCTTTATGCGGAGATTTAAATTTAGAGTCAGATTCTTTTCCTTCAGCCAATATATTAGTAATTGTTCTCTCTGATACCCCCACTGCCATTGCTGTTCTTTTCCGTACGCTATTTAAATGTTGACTTAATTTCGATATTAAAATTGGACTTGCACTGCAAACTGGATCACTTACTAGTTCCAATATATCTCTCGCATCTATTTTCAGAAATTCGTATACCTTAACAATGGTTTCTCGAGTCTAAAACAATAATACGTAAACGTCAACAAGGATATATTTTTTCGTATATAGAATCATAATAAATATTAATTACATCTAAATTTAAAAAATATTTACCTGACTCCTTAAACATTTTCTCCGTGAAGAACTAGACATTTTCGTAAACGACTGTACCCTTAAGAAAAAGCGATAAGAACACGTCTTGCTCGGACACACGAATGAAAGTTGTATATTTACAAGCCCACGCACACATAGGGCCGCGCGCACAACTGAGTTGAACTATCTATAATAAGATGTTTGTTTTACACAAACCAATATTTTATTTTCCTCGCTCAAAACCTACACCGATTGAGCTCTTTGGACATGATGTAACAACCGTTTCAACGATTGCTTTAATCTATTTTTGTCAGTTTAGTTCATCATTTCTCATGAATAGAATATCAAAAGAATTTTATTAAAACGCGTAAGTTAGTTCTCTCTGCTTCCGGCAGATAGCGTTGTTCGGCTTAGGTTAAAATCTCTCGAAAAGGGGCCGACACGTTAGCCACATAATTAAAACAAAACATCATACAACAATTTAATACATCAAAACATGACAAAACGCACACAAAAACTACATACTACTACAAAGAAAATCCTGTCCATAAAATAAAAAACCACCTGTATGTATAGTGTAACACCACATGTATAGTGATATAAATAGTACCTATAAGCACGGTACTATTATAATACAGTACTGTAACTCGGCCGCATGATAGAAATAAATGCCTACAGACGCGCGGTACGTAAACATGCGTTAGGGCTGCCCGTCTCCAGCATTTTATTTATATTTGCCTACTTTCTGTTTCTATTTAGATTTGTGATTGTAAATATCCTTTTTTATATAAATAAATGAAATACTTTGTATATTGAATAGGAAGTGAGCCCGCGATAAAAGATGCAATAGCTTAAAAATCCTTCTATAGAATAAAAAAATGTGCTTTCTCCTTACGCGTTACAAAACTCCAATCCTTAGAAACTCCAACACCTACCTACTCAACTAGAATGCAAGAAACAGCTGACGAGTAAGTAACTTTTTATCTCAGCTTATTAACGTCTCCATAAATTAGGTACCTACCTACAACTCAGAACAAAAATTCTTTGGTCACCAATTAATTAATTATTAAAAAGCTGAACAGCTGACTACGAATGTTTTAAAATGATAGCCCTCAAACATCTAAATCTATGCGAATATTTTAAAGCTGAAGAGTTTGTTTGTTTGTTTGAACGCGCTAATCTCAGGAACTACTGGTCCGATTTGAAAAATTCTTTCAGTGTTAGATAGCCCATTTATCGAGGAAGGCTATATATCATCACGCTAAGACCAATAGGAGCGGAGCACCAATGAAGAATGTTTCAAAAACGGAGATAATTTATTACTATTGAGAGACGCAGAGGAAGTTGCGCGGGTCAGCTAGTATTATATATGAGTCTAGCTGTTGTTGTTAATACCGAGAAAATGAAACCAGTTTTTAGTGGTATATGTTGTTATAGTAGCAGCAGAAACACTTTGTGAAAATTTCGAAAACTATCTAATGACACACAGACGGTAAAAAATTGTTTCTAGTATTATTCATACACACAGATAATAAACAAATATTATTTAAAATAAAATACCACGTCTTTACTTTGAATTATGCAAAGTAACAAAACACACACCGAAGTTTTAACACAAGCGTAAGTAGGTAGGTACCTACCGTATCATGATTCATTCAGAACCGCATATAACTACCTATTTCACTCGTCTCAATAACTTTCCGTTACTCTATTCGCTTTATTAATCCAAACACCTTTTTTTTCGTAAGATAAAAGGAAATACTTATCCATTAAAAAGACACACATTATGTACCTACCTACTAGTAAGTAAAATTATTTTATAGTCTTACCTTTCAGGGTTTCCAGGTAATTTAAAAAAACTTATGTCTGGATGCGTTATTGACGAATTCATACAACCAAAAACAGCATAATATTTCCTACTCGTCATATTAACTGATTTTTAGAGAAAATTGTTGAAAAAAACAACACACCGTCCGTTCGACACTGCGGTACAGCCGTGATTGTCTGCGCCCCGAGCGCACCCCGAGATCGAGGCGCGTAGGTATAGCTCGCGTTTAGTCCGTTTGTATGAAGTTGGAGTACTGTATTATAATTGTACCGTGCTATAAGTACAGGCTGAGAATGTTCAGATCGAAAAAAATTAACTAGCTGGTTTTTCAACGGGATAGTTCAGGTAGAAGTATTAGTTTCAAAAATACTTAGAAGAAATCTGTTTATAGCAAGTTATTAAAATAATAATAATAGAACAGGTATGTACAATAAACAGGGAAAACATTTTTAATGGAAAAACAAGAAAATGGTGGTTGCAGTGTAAGAAAAAACGAGAAAAATGAGAGTTGCTGAAGATAATTTTGTTAGAAACTACGAGAAAACACGCTTTAATCGCTTGGCACGGTACTTCGGGAAAACCATAGGTAAGAAAGCATCTACGAAAATTTCAAACTGGTATGTGTGCGTTACCCCAGCAAAATAATGTCGAAAATGGTCATTTCAACGTTATACATAATTAGTTGCCCCCTTCTGTAATTGTTAGGCACATTTTTAAATTTGTGTTTTTTTTTTTTTTAGTTATTTCAAAAAAACATTTTCGTTTAAAGTAAGTCTTGAGAGGTCTTATTCAAAGTGTTAGGACGTATTGAAGTGTTTTTATACTTACTTAAATAATTTTTAAACGGTCCATTATTTTTGATATTTTATTGTTAAACACATTAAAACTAATCCTTAAGAAGTTATGTACAAAAGATGGTTACAATCCGCTTACCCGTTTCAGAGATCCAGCAAACCTACAAACGTTACTCCGGCAGGATCTCGAATAACTTTGCAGCCGAAGAAAATACAAATATCAAATAAGTTGTAACATTTACCTCGTCTAGATAACTAATTATTTAGCTAATATTTATTTCAATATTACAATTAAAAAAGAAAATGTCTGGCTGCGGTAATGTTTCAAACGTTACCCCAGCAGAAAATGTTTTTTTGAAATAACTAAAAAAAAAAAGTGAAACAAATTTAAAAATGTGCCTAAAAATTACAGAAGGGGGCAACTAATTATGTATAACGTTTAAATGACAATTTTCGACATTATTTTGCTGGGGTAACGCACACAACTGGCATTTATTTCGTTAAGAATTGCCCCTACAACTTCTGCATAATTAAAAAGCAAAGGGAGCATGCACCACCTATTTTTACATTTTCGCAAATTAACTTAATATTGTTTTGCGATGGATTTTGTGTGTGTCGTGTATATATTTATACATATAATACTTACACAGTACGGCTAACTTAAAACTTTTAATACAAACGTATCGTGCCCTGTGTGAGTGCCTAGTCAGGTATTGCAGCTGTCATCTTTGGGGTGATGCGTTTAACGCTCACAACGCTCTGTACTTAGGTTATCATGCGCTTAGCCTATAGGCATCCAACAGCAGCCGTTTACGAAAAGCAAATGTAATTTCTGTTAGAAAAATTTTGGAGACATGCTGAAGATGTGGTAAAGATACCACAAAGACATTATTCCTACCACAGCTACCACAACTAAATGTGTTGACCGTTGCCCCTACGAGTGTTAGAACTGCTTTCGCACAACGCCTCTTTGACGTTTTAGTGCCAGAAATTGACAATATATTTTTAAAATACCAGGTCTGCAAAAAGTACACCACTTATAAATTCGAAAAGGAACTATCTACCTGGCTAAGACAATGCATCTATGATGAAATCGAAAATATGGTTTTCAACATACGTGCTTAAAATATACTGATACACTACCCAAGATCGACACCAAAAATACTCTCATAATCATTACATATCACACACTCATACGAAATGGAAACTATTGCTACTTTAAAATCATATTCATTTCATGAAAAGATTGGTTTTAGAAACAGCGGTTTCACATGTGATTGTGATTTGGTCCTATTCATTTTTTTTTGGTTTAGACCTCTTGCAAGTCTAGCGCTACCGTAATAATAATAATAAGTCGCAGTGGTTTTGTAAATTACTCCTATAAATCATATGATTTATCAGAGGTGATTGTGATTTTATGCCATCCCTAATAGAGCTAGTAGGATCTGATCTTTTTGAATATTTCTCGGAAATCATAAAGCTTCCGATAATGTTGTTGGAAATCTGCATATTATAATGTACATATATTTAATAAAACAGCGTATTACATTATCATTATTATCTATCACATTTATTACTTAATCCTATATGAATAGTATCTACGCAAGTCTTGATTGGCGAACGTTTTGTGTTATTATGGCACAGTGACAGGTACGCGGAGGCACATAACAGTGTTTTTATGTTCGTCGACCACATAGAATTCAATCATAACGGTGATCTGAAAAGGAATAAAAACGAGACATTAGTTGTTGAAGCTGTGAAATAGTTGCTAGAAAAAAATTGCCTTATTAATGTGAGCCCACTCTTAATGCTCAAAAGGAGTAATGAAAAATACAATAGAAATTTACTGCTGTTCATATTCACATATTTATATGTACCTATATATGAAAATGATGTGCAGGCAGCACTAACCTCCCTTAATTTTTTTTTAATTTTCGTTACACCTCTAACAATTTTTAATTCTGTTTTTAAACGAGAAGTAATTGATAACAGTCTATAGTCACTCATTTATAATAGTAATCTTGTATTTGCGAGTTTCCGCGCTTTATTTCTCGGCAACCAATCAGATAACCTAAAAGCAAAACAGATACCACCTCTACACAACAACACTGATTTTATGCAAGGTTTTGGCAGTCATTATTTGATCATTTTTAACACAAATAAATCATATTATAGTGTTGCTTATTATATGAAAGTCGTATTGGCTTATCAGGAATTTTTAGGATTTTGTAAAAAAACCCATCTCAAATAACAGAGAGCCATAAAAGACCGATTAATCTATACAAATAAATAAAATTAGAGTGTCTGTTTGTAATATTAAAATAACCGCTTTTTACTAATCTATACAAATAAATAAAATTGGAGTATCTGTTTGTAATATTAAAATTACCGCTTTTTACTAAATGCATATGTATGTTTAAACGGTACATATGCCAAAATAACATTTTTTACAATTTTTGTCTGTCTGTCTGTCTGTCTGTTTGTTCCGGGTAATCTCTGGAACAGCTGGACCGATTTCGACGGGACTTTCACTGGCAGATAGCTGATGACATAAGGAGTAACTTAGGCTACTTTTTTTAGACTAGCTTCGCCCCGCGGCGTTGCCCGCGGTTATAACAACAAGGGGTAACACCGCGGGTCTCAGCTAGTTTTTAAATAAAGAAACTAACTCTAATTCGGCCGACCGTTTGTGAATTATGATGCCTTAGACCTATTTTATAACTAATATTTTGAGTTGCCTGCATACTTATGTACGATTCGATACGGTTCGATTGACGGACCGGGCAAAACTTATTAGGGTTTTTCTGAGAAAAATAGCCTAAGTTACTACTTGTATATACAGCTACCTGGTAGTAAAATATTATCATTTTGAAGATTACCCAGCACAAACAGACAGACAAAACAGACAGATAAACTGGTTTTTAGGCATAGGTATCGTGCAAATAACCGTGTGAGCATGAAAAAACATATCATTTTGACATTACAAACAGACACTTCAATTTTATTTATTCGTATATATATATTTAGATTTATAGATATAGAATAGGTAACTAAAAATAACACTTACAGAACTAATAATGGCAGGTATATTCAGTCTTAGAGAGTACTGAAGGACTTCGCCGGGGAGAATGGGACAGTAGCTATTGGTGAGGAAGTTGCAGGTTACAGCATATTCTTCAAGGGGAAATTGTAGCACTCCGAGGCCAGGCACTTCCACCGTAACTAGAGTCTCCATACTTGTGATTAAGTGAGCTGTGGGTGTAAATTAAGTAATATTTTTAATCTCTTACCGTAAAATAGTACCAACCTCTCGCACAAACTAAAAACATTTACAACTACCACATGTCGTGTTTCTTGACGTGGTACATATGTATTTATTTGGAGGAAGTAGAGCTAAGTTCGTTATCGATTTATGAAAGTAATTATTAAAAGTCCACAGATCTAGTCGATGCTAATTCCAAAACATATTTTCGTAATTAGTAGGTAAATCAAAAAAGTGCTCCATAAGAGCAGATACTCTAAAATGTTTAATATTAAATTTTCAGCGTCACTTCTAACTAATCAAATTTGAGAAGTCCAGTTTAATCTACTTGTATCGAAATTGTTAATAAAACATTTTGCAAAATGATTTTCTGCATCTTGGCGTCTGTAAGTGCGTCCACCTTGGGGTTACATCCTGGTTAACTTTCAGATCACTCGCACGAACACAGATACTTAGTAATTTCTAATTTCCACTATTTACATTATAAGTTTTCCTGTCGTCCTTCCTTTTTTCATGTACCGTTTTTGTTTGGTTTTGAATAGGTGTTAGTACACTGAAGTTTTGTGCGGTCCATGGCCCTTTACGGGTGCCCAGTATGGGCGGGGGCCCTGAAGGCCAGCAACGTCGCGATTCTGCGACGACCGCAGCGAGTGCTGGCCATCAGGATCATAAGGGGGTACCGCACGATCTCCTTTGAGGCGGCGAGTCTCCTGGCCGGCACTCCACCGTGGGACCTGGAGGCGAGAGCCCTTGCGGCTCTGTATCAGTGGCGCAAGAAGGCGCGGGAGTTGGGTCGATGCCCCGAGATTCGAGAAATCGTTGACCGGAAATCCCAACTCCGCCAGGTCATCATAGGGGAGTGGAGGGAACGACTCGGGCAACCGAGCGCCGGGCACGCCGTCATCGCGGCGGTAAGACCCGTTATGGAGGAATGGCTCGAGAGGCGTCACGGGACCCTCTCATACCGATTGACGCAGGTGATCACTGGGAAGGGATGTTTCGGGGATCACCTGTGTCTGATCCGCAAGGAGCCAACGCCTGAGTGCCACCACTGCGATGGCCAGACCGTGCCCGGCGTGGGTTGAGCAGAGGCGAGACCTCGTGGCGGCCATCGGAGTGGGAGTTCTCACGCTCGATAGCCTGATTGCGGCTATCGTGCGGAGCGAGAGTGCGTGGAACTCTGCCGTCTCCTTCTGCGAGCAAGTTATGCTCGCGAAGGAGACGGCGGAGCGGGACCGGGAGAGGTTTAGGACTCTCCCGGCCCGCCCTGGGAACGGGCCAGGTACCGCAGGCGACTCAGGCGCCGGAGGACCTCCGGCCTCCATAAGCGCAGGCCTGGGGGTGACAGGTGAGGCCATCTGTCACCCTAGCAGAAGCAGGCCGGGGTGGCGGCGAGCGCGTTGCGAAGCGCGCTCGCTTCCAGGGAGCACAGGGAACATGGGGTTCCCACACGGGGAGGGGTCGTCTACTCGTCTGTAGATGACCCGAGGTATGTCGGGGCACCAGGGACTTCCTTTCTAGGGTATACCTGGTTCCCCGGCTATTAGTACCCGGCGACGGCGTGCGGTTTAAGTCGGTTCGAGTCCGACATGCCACTAACAGGTGGTATCCGAGGGGATTTCCGCACGGATAAAAAAAAAAAAAAAAAAGTACACTGAAGTTGACTGGGCAATAACCTATTTTTAAGGTATGTGATTCTGAATAAAAATATTTTTTTACAAGAACACTACGTCCATCATTCTGATTGATTTCTTAACCCCTCCATAGAAAGCCAGATCGTCAGCTAAGATAACTGTTACTTATGTAAGTATACCTACAAAGAAAAAAGTTTTTCAACAAAAAAAATACCTTCTAAATATATATATATCCATTTTCATATAATAAATTTGAAAGTGAGTTTGTTTGTTTGTTACGTTTTTACGCCTATACCGATTTTGAAAATTCTTTGACCAATTGAAAGCTATATGATCAGCGAGTTACATCCTCCACTTTTTACCGCGATAACCGACATACAGGCTGGCGGAGCTGCGGGCAGCTCAGAACGGGACCAGGAACGAGTGGTTTTAATTAAATTTTTAAGGTTTGACCAAAATTAACAAGTACTGAAATATTTGAAGATTGTATGAATGTATTTGAAACTATCTGGGACCTGTGACTTCGTTCGCGTGGAATTTGAAAAGCGCTGCCTTAGTGGGTTCGATTCCAGGACCGGGCCAAATTTTATAGGCCTTTTCTGAGAAATAGCCTAAGTTACTCCTTATGTAGACAGTAGACTATTATTACTATAGATAGATAGTATTACTATAGATATATTTTAATGAAAAAGTATTTGGACTTCCAAATACAATTTACATTATTAAATACAAACTAGCTTTAACCTCCGCCCGCGTGTATGTACATACTCGTAGGTTGACGCGGTAAAAAGCAGCATATTACTCGCTGATAATGTAGCTTTCCATGGCTGAAAGAACTTTAAATCGGTTCGGTGTAGTAACAAAGAAACTTTTACACTTATAACATAAAGTATGGATATACATTTTATTGATAATCAATACAATTACTGCCTGCGGACAAGTAATTAGAGTCATTACTTTTTCTCAATTTCATCTTATTATAGCCGGTTTACCATAATAAACAGTAACTTTCAGAGACAACACAGATGTAACCCAAAGCAAATAAAGAACAGAGTTAATCTTTGATACAAAACAATAGACATTAAATATACTAACGCGCATTGAAGATCAGGTGAAGGACTGCATCACCGCCGGGTTCTACGAAGCACGGAGGGTTTAAGCATCCTTCAACATACGTATTTACAGGCAAGGCTCCTTGATGTATCACACCTGGTAGAAGGAAGTATAATAGAGTATTTATATCAATCACTACCCTTGATCCATATCGCAATCAAATTGGTCTGTCTCTAGTTTGAAATAAAAGTAAAATAACTGTATTTGAATTATCACACACTTCATTGAAAGTTGTGATGTAACGGATTGTGAAAAAATATATAGCCACGATATGGATTACTTGTCTAGATTAAGGATAAGGAGATCGAGACTTTAATCGATAGGCAGATATGGGTGACCTCGAAAGCACAGGTAACGTTGAGTACTATTCCACCCTGAACAATCAGATTCCAAGTTTTCGTGCGAAACGATAATTGCTTGGAACCAGATTGGTCGGGTGGCGAGGCTTCATCGATGCGTCATTATTTTCTTCACGCGACTGGACTCTAAATAACAATATGTTGAGACTAGTGATGTGCCGGATCGTTAACAAAGTATATCCGCGGATACGGATCCGAATACGGATATTTGGTGTCAAGATCCGCGGATACGGATACGGATGTTAAGTTTCTTACTCAATCGGAGCCCGTGACCTTGATAGTTGTCGCCACTTAACGCTTTACCGTTGATATTTAAATATTTCATTATTTTAATAAGCTAATACAAAGATGTTTGATTGATCTCATTATAAAGATAGCTCTTTCAGTACCTACGACCTGCCTAGTTGATTTAGTGGAGTACGATAAATGATTGCAATACAAAGGTGCCAAATATTTGTTTTAAGAAATAAAAAGTGATCTGAACAGAATTCAATAGTTTTTCATAGCTACCTAATACCCATTATTCAGGGTTATTTTAAATTTACTGAAAACCTCTGAAGTGCATATTAGTAACATTATAAACAACAACTTTTCTTCTGGACTAACACCGAAAACGAAAGAAAAAAAATTATTTCTCCATACAAACTAACAACATTTTTTCTTCTCTAAAAAAAGACAACTCCCGCATTAGGAATATATCCTGTGTCGCGGGGGACTTTACAAACATACATGAAACGGACACAAAGAACACCCAGACTCAGAACAACAATTTGTGGATCACACAAAGTGTCGTCCCATGTGGGGTTTGAACCCACAACACTCGGCGTAGTAGGAAGCGGCGAGAAAGGAATAGAAATAGGTTATTTGATAAGTCATTTGAATAGAGAACCAATTTTTTTTCATTTTGACGTTGGCCAGAAAAAAAAGTTGCTGTTAATAGTGTTACAAACACATACCTAAGAGTTTTACAGTGAATACAAAATCACCTATATAGAATTTCATCTATGTAATATGTATTGGAAGATCCGCCAAAAAAGTCACGGATACGGATACGGTTACGGATCTCTCTTCTCCCTTGGATATCCGCGGATACGGATACGGATATCCGGCACATCACTAGTTGAGACTCGCACTGCACGTGTTTTTAGCCAAATAGCACCCAACTAGATTAGGAACGGTTATGTTTTTCGCGTGTATCTTGTATGTTTGTTTGTAAATTTCTTTATCGCATTGTATCTTCAAAATGGCTCGACGGATTTCGATCGTTAAAGTATTGTTTTATTCGTCTTCTAAACCCAATTGTCCTTAGATGGCTTTTGGAAAGAGAAAAAATAAAAGTGGCCTGTTTTTGACCCAAAATAGAAATAGGTTATTAAAAAAATAACCAAACCTATCGAGTAGGGTACCAATATCAAGAAAATTCAAAGGGGATTACAAAAATTTATAAGGTATATATTCAAATTTGTTAAGGAATAATACATTGGTTTAAGAAGTTTTTGATGCCGAAGAAATAGGTCATGTTAGTGACGCACCTCGTGCTGTTTCGGTGTTTTTAGTGCAATACTTTTAAATTGTGCAATACTTTTGAATTATTACTATTTTAAATCTTTAATTTAAAAAGCATATTACAAATATTCCATTCAATCCATTTCCATTAGAAATCCATAAGAGTAATGAAACACTAATGTCGTCGGATAAAGATTATTTTACCCTTGGAAATATCTGTTAATAAGGATACGGGTATCCAGCACATCACTAAAGATATAAAAAAAATAAGTAAAAAATAAAATAACTTTTTGAGTCCTCGAACTGACTACATGACAAGCTACTCTAGTGAATGATTTGTGTTGGGAACATACTCAAGATTATTAGATTATCTCAAACTGTTACTAGTACTGTGTAATATATAAAAGTAGTAAATTCTACTTACATTGCTCAACGTTTGTGGTTTGCGCCCTGACCAGGGAAAACACTGCTAACAGCAACACCAAACGCAACATTTTTGTAGATTGACACAACGATACTGTTAATAGCAGATTTAGTATCAAAGTCATTAATTATTATCAAAAGATAAAGGAATTTCGTGAATCCTTATCAGAATTACACATAAAGGGTTGCTTCCACATATTATGTTATTTGTATCTTTTAATTTTACTTCATTTTCTATTTATCATTTATGCATTTTTGTGCCAAGACATAGGTACTTAATGCCCAACGCATTCTCCACCAGTCAATCTTGGGTAATTTGTAGAAGTTTTGTAAGGTGCATTTAGGTTACATATGTAATTAATGTAAATAGATACTTTTTAAATCAAGTCATGTTTAATAGAATATTATGTAGGTAGAGGTACGCAGTTCAATACATATACAGGGTTACTGGTTAAGTCGACCTAGATACTTTGGGGGTTGTAGTAGTAATAATTTTTTAGAGGTTTCACTATGAAATACTATATCCAAACCTAACCATTTTCCAGATATTAGACTTTCAGATTTTTTATAGAAATTGCCGAAATTTAGCCTAATACATTTTTTTACAGCTTAAATCTTCATTTTTCTTTTTTACATTTTTTTGAAATGTCCATTATCAAAATCGTAGTTAACTTAACAAACTGGACCGAAGGAGATGGTTGGTAATGGCAAAAAGAAATAAACTTTTTTTTTTTCTTTGACCAATATTAAAATAAAAATCTATGGCAGCTAAGTTGCAGATATGTATGCTATCTAAAAAGGTATAATAGTCTAGGATAGTATCAAAATACTTGGATGAATGACCGGGAGTGTTAAGAATTATCGTAGGTATAACCCGGTAGTACCTACCCAGTAAAAAACTTGGCTTATACTTTTGGAGTGATTCCTCTTCTATTCGTGACTAACTTTTACTGGACTTTGATTTGTGCTACTGATACTGTTGAAGATGACGGTCTCTACAAATGAGGAATATGCTGATATTCTGATTTGTCACGGATAAATATTGTCAATAGGAGCCGAATATCGGTGACAAACTTTACCTCTCTTAACTAGTAGATGGCGAATAGTGATCACTTTGTGCTGCGATTGAAGATAATCTAACTTAACACCGTGGGTACTAACCTATCTTATGCGTAAAATTAAGACAACTTGGCCAGACCCTCTGTTGACTTAGGTGGTCATACGCTTAGTTTCAGAATTGAATTCAACATCAGAGCAGAACCATTTTAAGTTTAATTTAAAATAGGTAGGACAGATTTTGTTCTAACCCATAAGGTTATAATGTAATAATCACCGAGATTAGTCTTCAGAACTTCTAATTCCAAAGAATTTGTCCGAAACATCATTACCTATTAGAAGTGGGTGGCTGCGAAAGCTTCAAAGTGAATACTCAAGTTAAAAAATTTCAAAGAGTAAACTCTTCCTTTTTCGTATTTATATTATCTTCATACTTTGTACTTTAAAAAAAAGGTTGCAGTAAGAAATGACCTAATATGATATCAGGTACAAAAGCAGTGTACCAGGGATTTTCTATCTAGGCTACTTTTACACAAGACGGCGGTCGTGTGGTTTTTAGGCGGTTTGTATAATACTTTGTATCCGATCTTACCACCCCAACGCCACCGGTTGTCTGGTGGGTGGTATCCGTGTTGATTTAAGCACAGAATAAAAGATACGAAAGCAGTTTATTTCTTATTCACAGTTTTTAGTTACAAAAATCTATGACTATCAATGATTATTCTTAAATTGACATTACACTACATTGAAATTCTCATAAAATACGGAACGACGCCTAACCCTAACGAAAATATCAGTTTTCTTATCTGTCCCGACACACGTGTGGCGATTAGTCTTATTACAAGCAGCTGTACACTATCAATGGTAACCAACAGTGATAGCGTGCACCTGCGCAGTGATGTGATGAACTGATGAAACAGAGGGCATACAAAAAGGGATTCTAAAAACACACATTCACATCAATCTCATGTCATTATCCACAAAGGGTCATTATCCACGCACAATAAAAAAATTGCCAAATTCAACGAACAGATATTATTAAATGCTACTCGGGTAAGTCAGTGGTGACGGATTAAGAATACGGAGTGTCACAACCCCTATTCATCCCGCGGGTGTCGCAAGAGCCGACTAAGTGAGCAAACTACGCAGGACAAACAGCACTGCTAAAATAAGGAAAACTTGACACAAACCCTATACGTATAGCGTGGTATAGTATAGTATATTATAGTATGGTAGGCCAAAGCCTCCTTTATAAGGGGGCTTTATAAGAAATACCATATCGTAGATTTTTTTGACCGATATGACTCATTCCTTCAAGTAAAAAATGACCTCTAAGGCCGAAAACATTTTTGTGACTCTTGTTGTTAGACACATAGTCTATGGGCTTCGGTCATAGAAATCGTAATAAGAAGACAGTTTTATTATTACGATAGAAATCGTAATAGGAAGATAGTCCTATTATTAATAATTTCACAGTAAATGACTCCCAATTATCTAAATGATGGAAGTTTTGTCGTGGTAGATCAATGTGAAAAGTTGTGACCGGTATAGATCCGAGCAGATCTTCAGAACACTCCCGACGTTTACAGTCGATTTTGTGGTGATATGTCCTTGCCCAGGGATGAGTAAAGTATTTATTATAATGCCGATCTTATGCCTTATGAACTTACTAGACAGTGAGCCAGGGTGAAATACCGTCTCGATCTGTTTAGCACACCAAGCTTCCTCGAGATTAGGTAATGTGGCGTATGCTAAAGATAAGCGGTGTGTATTTTGTTTTTGGCACGGGAATACGGTAACGGTATACCTGAATGGATTGACATAATTAACTTTAAAATAAGTATTAGATACTTCAATGCGCCTATTCAGTCCTTCATTTTCAACCCCTTAAAGTGGTTTTTCTATTGCGTCCAAACGGAAAGTATTGTACTCTCTCAAACAAAAAATATATTGCAAAATCATTTAATTAATGACGGAGTTCCGTTTCGAGGTAACATTTAAATTGTAACAAGCCAATCGTTTACTTTGTTTTACTAATAATTATCTATTTCTTACATGCAAGTGATCAATGTTATCGACGGATAAGTAAAAGTCATAAACCTTATCAAAGCTACACGCTAAGGGATTCATTTCATTATCTCTTTTAATAAACCACGATTTACCGCCTAAACGACATTCTTGATGCTAAATCAAAAATATTTATTTAAAACGTTTATTTTATAGACATTTAACAATTTACATAGTAACATTCATTTCCAAATCGATACCGTAATACACTTGTGCTAAATAATGTAAGTACCTAGATACACACAGTTTACAGTATAAAGGCATTAAATTGGCGAATTTCTCTTTCGGCACCATTTTTTCAGCAACTAAGTTATTGCACATATAGCACCAACAGGTATATTGGCTTGTTGCTCAACGTGAAACAAAAAAAAACATAGTGTTCCTCATTCAGCAACTACCACGGTTTTTAGCGATGGGATGTATATTTTTTCACAATGTTCTGAAATAAAAAACTTGTTGATAAAAATCTGTAATCAATACTTATTATGCATTATACATCCCATCAATATAAACTACCGCACCGTAGGTGATAAATGAGGAATAAAAATTTGATATATTTTAATTCCACCTTGAGCTAATATACCTATTGGTGCTGAAAAAAATTGTGCCGAGAGAGAGGTATACTCACTTAAACTAGATTAAAATTACTTCACTCTCCATTAAAAATGAATTCAGAACATCACTACTTTATGTCCATCGAACAATTAATAAATAAAGTAAATAAAAACTGAAAAGAAAGATACATTTTTTTTAATAATAGTAGTTACTTTATTAGTAATGTTACTACAAAGGATTATATTACTAAAAATTAACTATTAATTAACTATGTATTAATAAAATTCAAGTACTATAATCTAAATTAATTTTATGGTATTTGATATCAATCTGCTGTTCGTTCTCTCTCCTACTTTTTCGTGCCCAACAGGGTCCAAGCAGAGCCTAGGTTTTAAAACCGTTTGAAACATTTACGGATGTACTAAAATTAGTTTACCAATTCATTCGCTTTGTTAATCTAAAAAAATATCGCGATAGATGATATTTAACCGACCTCAAAGGGAAGAAGTTGAAAATTCGTTTTTTTTTAATTAATTTATATCTTTATTGTTTACAGTTAAAACATAAGACCCTTACAAATATATAGACGTAACAATCGGCGGTCTTATCGCTCACGGCGATCTCTTACAGACAACCTTAATACGGATATTAGATATTTAAAAAGTTGGGTAGTTTACATACACGTAAATATCACGTGAATATTTAAAAATCTAAACAAAACCATTCATACACAAATAAGCATCTGTGTGTGTGTATCTGTGTGTGTGTATCTGTGTGTGTATATTTATATAGTCAGAACAAATAATAATTTTCCAAATCAGTGCATAAATAACAGCATTTATAAACCAATTAGGATTTTTATTTTTACACGCTTTATAGTAGCTTCACTTGTATGTTTGTTTGTATGTTTGTAACCGACTCCTTTGGGCGTGATTTTGACTGACTTTAAACGGTCAGAATTCGTTCAAACTTTGTAGATATATCGAGGACCGATGACAATACACTTTAAAAAAAAACAAAATTATAGTTTTAAAAAACTAAAAAACAAGCTTTCTATAGAAAACCAAACTAAAAAATAGAAAATAAATTTGAAAAAAAGCGTGGGGTGCTTTTTACTATTGGCAACAGGCACCCAACGCTTTTTTTCAATTTTTTTTTCAATTTTTTTTTTTTAAATAGGAGCATATACTTGTCCCTTCTATTTTAAGTTTAAACAAACTATAGGTACATCTACGGAGTTTGTCCACTTGCAGTTTTTCTTTTAGTATAGGGAGACAAAGAAAAGTAGAGTCACCTGAAAGTAAGTGATTGCCGCAGCCGATGGACGTCTGCAGCTCAAGAGTCAGGAGACGAGCCTGCCCATATGTGCCGAAGAATGGTTCATCAACAGCTC